AATATGCATTCGACTTTAGGAGAACCAGAAATAGACATGAACTAAGATATTATTACCAAAACATGAATAAAGTATAATATCGACCAAAATTCACTCTTGTTCTAGGATAAAAAATTCAAATGCATAGATAGACAAAATGTGGCTACAAAGGATGTTTAATAGGTCGAGTGAACAATGAATTATCATGAGATGGACACATGCTTTTTCCAGCGATGCGAACAATGGCCACTTTTCTCTTACAAGATGAACACATGTTTCCCGATGTAACTCATAAATACCTTTACCCTCTACCTATCCATCTCCATTTCCAATTCATTTGGCCGCAATAGTGTGTGCTATTGAAAAAAAGCACGAAACATTTTAGTATCTAAGAGAAGTTCCACAATGTAATGCTTGTTGCTTTGACCTTCTAATTAGATGCTAGAGAGGACACAGTCACAAATCAAAGAAAAATGAGGTTGCCTGCAGTGCAGATGGTCTTCCTGCAATAACCGTGTATTCGAAGTTTCTCAAAAGGCCTGTATTGCTCACAAACGACTAACAGCATGATCTTTTCTGGCATCGAAAGAAGCTTGAATCATAAATGTATTTCAGAAATGATAATTTTTCCAGGATTTCACCAGAAGAGGTTCAATGTTAAGACAATCAACAGATTGGATGCGCAGCAGAATATAATCATGTGTTCATAGATGATAGCAGCAATAACGCTCATGTTAAAAATTCCCTAGAAGATAACGTTCAGATACAAAAAAAAGTAAACCTCTCTAGAATGAGGAATAAAAAATGTCAGACTTCAAGAACTGAAACAAATGTTTAAAATCCTAAATACCTTTCAAAAGTATGTCCTACACTGGTAGACTGAATCAAATCAATGAAGCACAACTAAGAACCTTGAATCTTGAAATCTATAAATATTATGTCCAAGCATTGATGGGATTGATCATTGATGTGGCACAACATTCAATCAGATATTACCTGTGACAAGCATGCTAAAAGAAAAAAGATATTGCTCCAAGCTCTGCTAAATGGAGACATGCTCGTGTACTGTCATTACTTTACCAGCATGGCAGCCACAATTATGTAAGCAAGGCATGGCATCATCATCATCATTTGATTTACATAGTAAGCATTACAACGTAGATAATCACAAATATACATGAGACACATCTGAATTAATAATCAGACAGGATGGTATTCTATGACATCATTGTTTTTACAGAACTTCGACACTATAACTTTAATTTTTTCAACAATTGCTGCTTTTTGCTCAATATAAAACTCTTTTCGTGCGACAAACTCCATTTCAATAAAAGTCTATTTTTTATCATGAATGCTTTATTATAATTAGCAGCCAATAAATACTATAGTTAAATAATTTTGGAACTTTGTCTACCATTATTCTGGTCTATCAACATTGCCATCTTTCTACTTAGAAACCACAATCAGATATCTTGTTGATGATAGTTCATTATGCCAAGTAAAAATTTAACTTCTGGAAGATACATGCCAAATTTAAATAGTCATTATGGTCCATGATGCCAAATGCATCTTTGATACTCAGAAAGCTACCCTCTTGTAAGCTAGTTTTGAAAGGCATATTGCACATCAACTTTCAAGGGCATATTGCACAACATTAAAACCACATAAGATGAGACACGTCAGTGCTTATATATTTGGTCAATTATATATCCACCATGAAAATGTAATCTTTTGTCAAGAATGACTAGTTTTTAAGATGATAGGAAGAAACTCATTGTTTGATTAAGCAACTTAAAATTCCAAAAAGTCGTCAATGAATAATTTGTTGGGGATGACGAAGCAAGGAAATGATAAAAACAGAATACAACGATGCAATTAAAAAGAATACTTTCGATCAAGAAAACTGTTGTAGTATTTAAATAAGAGGTAAGACAAGAACACTTACAAGCTAAGTTTATAGTATTTGTTGAGAATTGATTCATAGTAGTTATCTAGGTAGTTACTATGTTCTAGGTAGTTATAGGCATGTTCTAGTAGTGACCCATGATCTAGAAGTTATAGGGTAGTTCCTACACCTAACTCAATAATGAGTGACATGGTGGAGTGAGGTAGTTACCACTAGGTCGTATAAATAGGACCATAGTTCATGAAGCAAGATAAGGAGTGTGCACTTGAGAATATCATATAAGTGTTCTTGTCTTACCTCTTATTTAAATACTACAACGATTTTCTTGATCGAAAGGATTCTTTTTAATCGCATCGTAATATTCTGTTTTTATCGTTTCCTTGTTCCTTCATCCCCAACATTTGTGGTATCAAAGCTAAGTTTCAATCTGAATTAGGCATTATGATTTTCAATGGCAATTCCATGTCTTAACCCCTTATTCTCATCTTCTCGAGCAAATGCTATAAATTTTAGAGTATCAAGATAAAGACTCTATTCAAGTCTCAGGATCTTTGGGACTTAAAAGAGAATGGATATGCGGATTCAGATGAAGAAATCAGGCTGAGGGAGAATAGAAAGAAGAACTCAAAAGCATTGTTCTTTATTCAACAAACTATACATAAGACAATCTTCTCAAGAATTGCAGCAGCGACAACTTCAAAGCAAGCATGGTTGATACT